TGGACATGGTATACAGGCTAGATGCTCTCCAGCTATGCTCAGATCCTCCTGCTTCCACCTCTGTCAAACCAAAAACTGTTCCCCAACAAAGACCCAAACCTTAATCATGTTAAAGGGGAAAAATATCTGCCTTTCCATATTAACCATGTCCCAATTCCCATTGTATCTTCCTGGTGTCTATCCACACAACCCCTACAATGCAGAAAGAGCTGTTATCACTGGCAAGTTAAGTCATTTTCTCAGATAAAGAGGAAGCCTACGGGAGAGGGGGTATTCCAGCTTGTTTCTCCCAAAAGTTCATGCTCAGCATGGTAAACACATCTCTTTGCACCCTGATTTACTGAAGGGCATCAATCAATTCTCCCATATCTAATGCCAAAACATCTACATCCCAAAAAGGGATTCAACCTAAATTTTCCCCCTCCACCCTTCACCTGGGCTGACAACAATGGATTTCTGTCCACCTTCCTGGTTGTGCCCCTCCAGAAGTGTTCACATCAACCATCTTAAACCCATCTGAGTCCACGGAAACCCAAGTGCAACCTTTGCCAAAAACCAGGGGATTCAACTCAAGTTTCTACAACCAGAGCAAAGCACAGCACCGAACCAAGGAAGAGTCATTTCTGGGGCATCAAGAGATTAAAAGTAAATTGATGAAGAAACCTTGCATGGGTATGTGAAAAGGGTATGCATTAGGATGTGCAATAGAGTATGCAGTAGGGTATCCAACAGGCTATGCAATAGGATATGCAACAGAAATAGCCTTTCTCCACTGGCACCAAGACATTTCCAACTGCCAAGATGTACCAGGCGCTGGCTCTGGCTGCATGCTGGCGTGTGCTCCATAGCAGGCTCTGCTGCTCTGTGTCGAGATATGTATTTTGTGGTGTGTTTTGGTTTTTTGGGGTTTTTTGTTTTTTTTTTTTTTATTAAAAGAAGGTATCAGCCTTCTGTTTGATGTGCTGTTGGCCACGGTTGCTAAGGGGAGCAGTGTACAATTACAGCCCCAGTGATGTCCACTCTAATAATACACTTGGCTCTGCATAGCTCAGATGCAGACACAGCTCAGCTATAAAGAGCACGGCCATTTCAACAGAGGAATACTCCAACTTATGTTACATGTGAAGGGTTTGTGGCACATTGCTTAACACTCCTCCACCAAAAAAAAACCCCAAAAACCAAAAAGCACCGCAGTGAGTGAAACTATGACAAGGAAAAGTCTCTCACAGGAAACTTAACTTTCAATTCATCAATTAAGAAGGTATTTCTAGAGGGTTGAAGATACCATATATGTGTCCACCAAGATGTTCTTGCATACCTCCATTCACTCAAGCTTCCCAGGCCCAATTTGACCAGGTCCATCTCAAAGCCTTGTGCAGACCAAAATCTCTTCTTGTACCAAAGATGAAATCAAACTCAATGAGGAGAAAATAAAATCCAGATGACTCCTACAGTGCTGAGCCCACAAATGGCAGCATTTCCCCCAGCCCAACCAGCTACCCATCCCATGACTTCCCTTTCCATGTCCCCCTTCAGCATCCTGAAAGGATCGCAGCACCCAAATTCAAGACTCAGACAAGATTTGGGACCAAAAGACAGAACAAGGGATAAATTCAAACCAGAGTTTTCCTGTTAGATCCCCTTAGAGCCTGAAATGGTGAAACGTTGGCTGAGGAGATGCTCTTTAGAGGAGATGTTGGCAGGGAGGGGGATGACAGGACAGCATTCCTGTGCCGCGGCGCTGGCATCTGTTTTGGGATCAAAACAAGTCCCTCAAGATAAGCCGTGAACATGAGCAGCCCCTGAGCACGAGCACCTTGTCAACAGCTGAAAATATAAGAGGAGCCAGGTTAAAAAGACATTTTATTCAGTTTATTGCCTGTTCTGTGGGAAAACCCCTTCCTGCTTGTTTTAAGGTCCAGCAGGGTAGAAGTATGCTGTCTATAGGTACGAGGATGCTGGTAGGGTGGACTCAATGGGTTAATGCATTAATTTGTGAGATCCTCTGGTGGGACTGAGCTGTTGCCATCACAGACCAGAGAGAAAGGGACAAACAAGCCCCTACAAAACAGGAGCATCTGCCGGGAGCAGATGAGGGGGCGAGCGATCTGGCCCCAGGCGCCAGCAGCACGGGGCAGGGATCACGTTGATCCCGATTTATCACACCCCGGCAGAGTAATTCCTCAGCTCGCCAGGGCCTGGCAAGCCAAGCTCCTTACGTCCAGGGATTAGATTAGTCTGAAAGGTGTTAGAGAGACATAAATCCAAGCTCTGGAGCAAGCATTTTATTAAAGTTTTTTTTGTTTTGTTTTGTTTTTTTTTAAAATTAATGGTAAATTATCTAGAAATGGCTGATGGAAAACATCTGATTGTGGAGAGGCTAGGACTGGAGCTGGGTAATGGTATATCATCAACAATATATCAATATATCATAAAGATATTGATACATCAACATCATATCATCAACTATATACCAATATATCAAATTGATATATCAATATATCATACTGATATCATATCAATATATCAATATGATATATCAATATATCATATTGATATTGACAATATATTCTATATCAATACCATCAACCCCTTTATTTCACATTAAGGAGGCTTCAATGAGTCTTTTGCACTTCATACCTAGGTCTGTCTCCATCCAGGGCTATCAAGCCTAAATCCACCACAAAAAAATCCCAGTTTTGGGCTAACGAAAGTATTACAGGAATCATGTGAACACACCCAATTATTTTAGTTGGAAAAAACTGTTGTGCTTGGAGAAAGTAAAAATTCTTTACTATAAGAAAGGAAATGTTAAATTATTTAATTTCACATACCACTTTGCTTTTGACCTGTAGTGATCTGTCACCTTTTGCCCCATCAAGACATTTTTAAAAGATGTGCAATTTGGGGCTGAGTAAATCCCTTTTGCATATTTTTCTATGGTCTTGAACATGAAATCAGTCACCCACACAGCCTGCTCACCCTTTGCATTTCATTTCTTCCCAGCTTTCCACAACAGACATCATGCTCCTATCACACTGAGATGGGTTACATGTTCCTGGGAAGCACTTTGGGACTCTCTGGAGATATGACAAATAATATACTATTTACCCTACATTCATGCTATGAAGAGTTGAATATGGAGCCAGTTATTACTGTACATGATGCTGCAGTATAAATCATAGAATCACAGACTGGTTTGGGTTGGAAGGGACCTTACAGCTCATCCAGTTCCAACCCCCCTGCCAGCAGCAGGGACACCTTCCACTAGACCAGGTTGCTCAAAGCCTCATCCAGCCTGGCCACAAACACTTCCAGGGAGGAGCAGCCACAGCTTCTCTGGCCAACCTGGGACACTGGCTCACCACCCTCACAGCCAAGAATTTCTTCTTCACATCTCAGCTCCATCTCCCCTCTGACACTTTCAAGCCATCACCCCTTGTTCTCTCACTCCCTGCCCTTGGACAAAGTCCCTCCCCAGCCTTCCTGGAGCCCCTTCAGGTACTGGGAGGCCACTAGAAGGTCTCCCCGGAGCCTTCTCTTCTCCAGGCTGAACAGCCCCAACTCTCTCAGCCTGTCCTCACAGCAGAGCTGCTCCAGCCCTTGCATCATCCTGGTGGCCTCCTCTGGACTTGTTCAGTCTACTGGGTCTGTTGGTAGGGGTGGAAATGCTGGGGCAAGAGACAATTTCCAACAAGAGCAAGAAGGGCAAGAAGATGTGTCAAAAATTGGGCACCAAACATGTGGAGAATGGAGAAACTATACAGGAGCTTTATATGTGTCGCAGATGACATATGTGTGTGAGGGAATGGCCATATGGAAACAAGTACTAAATTAAGGATGGAAATTCATGGTTTCAGCTCTACATGTCCTGTCTCCAGAGAGGCAGAAAGACAGGTCCACGTGACACCCTCTCCAGAAAGCAACGCCTGCTTTGATGGCAGTACTACAGTAAAACACGCTGCCCCCAGCAGACTGAAGGCAGTTGAGGACAGCCCTGTTTCCCCATCATCACCATTATCATGGGCCAGTTACAGAATCATATAATTGTTTTGGTTTGAAGAGACCTTTAAGAAATTGAGACCAACCATAAAACTAACACTGCCGAGTCCCCCACCAACCCAAGTCACTCAGCACCACGTCTACTCGTCTCTTAAATCCCTCCAGGGATGGGGACTCCACCACTGCCCTGGGCAACCCCTTCCAATACCTCAGAACCCTTTCAGTGAAGAATTTTTTCCTAATATCCAAACTAAACCTCTCCTGGTGCAACTGAGGCCATCTCCCCTTGTCCTCTCGCTTCTTACTTGGGAGAAGAGACCAATCCTCACCTTGATACAACCTCTTTTCAGGTAGTTGTAGAGAGTAAGTTATCGGAGTCACTGCTTTTTTTCTCCCACCTAACTTTGCTGTTGCTGATGGTTTTGGAGCAGAACAATCAACCAGTGCCCTGTACACCAATAAATAAGTCACTCAAAATAATTAGCAAATACAGCAAATACACAAATTATTTCCGTCTGGATTGCAGTAAGAAACCAGGAGTGAGCCCTTCAGCCAGGTGATGCAACCAATAGCCTACTCAAGGACCATGACTTGATATCTCTGGTGTTGAGAAGGATTTCAGCCAGAAAGAGCAGCAAAGACCCTCTACTGTAAGACCCTCCAAGTTAACTTTTCATGCCAAGAGGATGCTGCCACAAGCTACCCACTCATACCACAGCTGGGCCCTGGTGTGAGATACCGTAATTCCACATACAGCTCATGAAATGGGAATGAAGAGCAACTTGACAATGCCCTCAGTGCCATGTTATCTACGGCAAACATTAAAGATGTGCACAGATAAAATCACAGGTATGCTTTTGTTGTCTTCTCATCAATTGGGTTTGAAAGGAATTTGGTAACAGCTCAGCTCCTCTCCAAAAGCAAAGTAAGATCCAGTAGGGTGAAGCTGCAGGCATCTAACCAACTAATTTTATCTCATTACCTGCAACATATTGAGGAGTAGACTCCGGAATTTGGTTCCTTCCACCATGAAGAGGGCCATTTTGTCACAGAGCTTGGCTGCTGTGGAAGCAAAACTGCGGTCTGTCACCGCTTTCTGATAGATGGTCTTGACAATCTCCCCCAACATCTCCTCAGAGTTGGTAGAGTTCTGGGCTTCCTCCATGAAGGTGGTGAGTTTGGAGTCAACATCGCTGCTGTTGTTCCTCATGCTGTTGAGGATTTCAATTAATTTGTCCATTTTGTTCTTTTCAGGGTTAGTGGTTTCCACCGTGACTTCGTCCTGGTCCGTGAAAAGGGAAAGACAAGGCGTCTGTTACACAAGGAAAAAACAGACATATCAGACCTTGTCCTTCCACAAACAGCGAAGGGGGAAGGGGACTGGGGAGACATATAAACAGACATAGATAAATCAAAGCATCTTTTAGAGGCACTGTGATCTTGTATCAGCATTGAAAACTACAAGTGAATGAGTCCTGCCCCAGAAATGTTCCCTTTCCCCATTTCACGCAGCACTCAATCCGAGAGTTCTTCCGCTCGGCTTAGAGAGAAGATGTACTCGAGGTTCTTGAGCCAGGACACCAAAGTCTGACCACCCCTGACTGCCTTCAGCATCTTAGACAGGTTTCTGGAGGTGTCTGCAACATGGTGGTAATGGATATTTTTTTGCCTCTATTTTCCAAGTGCACTGTTTGCAAAATGCTCAGATAACAATACTACAAAAATATCTACTTTAAAATATATATTTAATAATCTAAATTGAGGTCAAAGATGTCACATGATCCAGCATTAGAAAAACTCTTAACTTTTCCATCACTTGACTGTTACACTTCTGACTTCATGATATTACCATAGAATTTCTTGCTTCTTTTTAACATTTAATTATGCATTTTTCCCTTTCTCCTAGTGTAATTCATGCATCCTGCTTGCTCTAGTCTGCTCCTTTCTCCCCCTCTAGTTCAATATTAAAATGTGCTATACAATACAAACTTGTAACAATTTTTTGGACAACATTAATGCCAACTGGAAGCTGCAGTTGTCCAAAACTCTTATCAGGAGGTCAGTTGTGTTGTCTACACCCACCCAAAAGTGGGTGCTTATGTGATGTCTTTCTTACAAGACTATACATTTCCAGGATGGGCATTAAAATGAATATTCTGAAAGTTTCTGCTCTACTCCCGTTGCTTTAAAGAACATAAAAATAACTATCAAAATCTCTTCCTCCCCCTCATGCCACATGCATAAATAGTAAAAGCACAAGCATTCAAAGGTATACATTTCCAACATGCACTCCCATGGAATTGTATATGTGCAGGTTATTTTTGCTACACATTTTGGAAATCTCATTAGAGATATACCCCTGTGGATGCATTTTCCAGTCTGACAAAAGAATCTCAAGAGAAAGAATCTGAGTTTCACAGGGGACAAATGGAGATATCATCTCTGAATTCCTCAGAAATCTGAGGCTGAATATTGTTTCCAAAAAGGATTTCTCCTCTGTCATTTGCATGCAACAGTTTTGTTATTGTTGGGTTGTTGGTAGGAAGGGAGAGAGATAAGGGCGTTCCAATTCATTGCCGAGATAAATGGGTATCAACTTTTAATTAGCTGACTCCAGCTATTCAGCACTCAAAAGTCAAAGCTTGGGATTTATCTCTTTAATTGCAGAGAGACAAACTGCCTTTTTTAGACCTCTTTGCAAAGTGGATGAGCTCTGCAGACCAGGAGGACAGTCAGCTGAGATCAGCTGTCAAGGAAGGAGTGTCCACGTTGCAGCTCATGTGTGCACCAGCCTTCCCCCAGGGTCTTTGTGTGGATAGGGGGAGAGTTCCCAGTCCTTCTTGGAGAACTCAAGCTGGTAGCAACCTCAACCAAGAAGTCAAGCTAAGAGCCTTAGTACTGTGTCAACAAAAGGCTTCCTGAAGAAGCATGAAGACACTTCAAGAGAAGTGTTGACACTGTCAGATTAAGATAAATTGGGTGCATTCATGGAAAGGTCCCTTGAGTCTACCCCACCCTTTGTATGAAGAATCGCCAACAAACAGAGAGTTGGAAAAAGGGAAACTCAATGTTTCCCTAAGAAATCATACCTTTTCTTTTAGTCTCCTCCGCAGCCTGTCTTTGGAAGACTGAAGCAAATTGATCTTGGGTCTTTCCCCAGTCCGCTCGTGAATACTGTCTTTCCTCTTGGTCTCTGACTCCTGGATATACTGCTGAGACTGCTTCTCCACAGCCTCCGGGCCTCGGTGTGTCTCCACCGTGCAGACAGAGGTGTCCTCGATTTTCAAATTCTCAGTCTCTTTGGCAGTTCTCTGTGTTTCTTTGTCGTTGGGCGAGTGCTTCTGGTTGTGGTGCCATCTCCGGTTCTGGCTGTAGCCGTGGTGGCCCGTCCTGCCTGAGGAATGAGGGGCCTGGCCTCCTTGGTAGAGTTTCTGGTGGTCCCTGTTGTGTTTGGTGCCACCTTGCTGATGATCCGTGTGTTGCTGTGGCTTGTTCCCACTAGGAAGTCTCTGCTGTCTCCTGGAAAAGTCAAAAGGAGTTGTTAGTACACCCTTTCCTGCATGGTTCTGTTTGGTCAACACATCTTCTATCCCACTGAACAGCCTGGCCCTTGGTGGGTGGGTTCTGTGGGTCTTCTTGCCACAAAAAGGGTGCCAATTTCTTGGCATCTAACACAACCTATGACCAACTCACATCTCCAAATCTCTTTCAGTAACAGGCATATTTCAGTTGAAAGTTTTAATGAACAGTTAGATAACATGTCTTTGGTTCCTAGGAAAATTTCTCCCAAGTTTCTGTGTTCTGTGTTGCTTCCATACTAAGCCAAGGAAGACCTGGTTAATCCCAGCTCAGCAGTGGGAACTTGGAAAGGCAAGAAAATATCAGGAGATATTTTCTTCTGAAGACCTAAGGAGCTCCTGATACACCTGACCTGCAGCATTGCTTGCTCCTCTTCCTTGCCACCTCTGCTGTACCAACATGGCATACTGCTGCATTGTTTTGCAGTGCACCATTTAAATTGTATCAGGAATTTCTAAGTGTGGGGGAAAAAAAAAAGCTAAAAAGCAAATTATTGAGTAAAAGATGCCCACACCAAATGGTTTTGTTTGGCCTTTCTTCTTTCATGTCCCTCATCATTGTTACAATGGGAGAGAATGCATGCACGGATGAAGAAGCTGAGGACTACACTTGGATCCAGCAGCATGGGGAGCTAGAATCATTACCTCTGGATAGAAGCTGGGTGAATACAGCTCCAAACGGATAACATGGAAATTCAAAAGGCACAAAGAGGAGGAATTGCCCACAAATGGTTTGCTTGAGAGACTACAGTGGCTCAGAAGGGGTGAGCAAGCCCCTGTGTGTTAGCCATAACAAGTAGCCAAGATAGCAGGTCCCCAAAAAAATAGTGGTTGAATGGAAGAAATGTTTTGTCAGTCTTGGACCTTTCAGACTTCCACACAGGCTGCAGTGTGGTTCTCCTGAGTGGAGAAGGAAGAGCTGGAATGCCATCATTAAGGATGTGTAGTTCTGGAGCCACCAACACAAGAGAGACCTGGAGCAGCTAGAACAAGTCCAGAGGAGGCCACCAGGATGATGCGAGGGCTGGAGCAGCTCTGCTGTGAGGACAGGCTGAGAGAGTTGGGGCTGTTCAGCCTGGAGAAGAGAAGGCTCCGGGGAGACCTTCTAGTGGCCTCCCAGTACCTGAAGGGGCTCCAGGAAGGCTGGGGAGGGACTTTGGCCAAGGGCAGGGAGTGACAGAACAAGGGGAAATGGGTTTAAACTGAAAGAGGGGAGGTTTAGATGAGATATTAGGAAGAAGTTCTTCACTGTGAGGGTGGTCAGACACTGGAACAGGTTGTCCAGAGAAGCTGTGGCTGCTCCTCCCTGGAAGTGTTCTCGGCCAGGCTGGATGAGGCTTTGAGCAACCTGGTCTAGTGGAAGGTGTCCCTGCTGCTGGCAGGGGGGTTGGAACTGGATGAGCTTTAAGGTCCCTTCCAATCCAAACCATTCTATGATTCTATGATTCTATAATTCTATGATTCTATGATTCTACGATGTAATGAAGATGGAGATGGTCCCAGTGATGGCTGCCTTCACCCGGGATGGCACAGGTTTAGCCCAAAGCATGGTGGCAACAACCTGACTTCTTGCTGCCTTTTCAACACTTAGCATTGGCTCTGAGAGCACGTGGGATGCTTTAACCCCCTCCTTACTGGAGCTGCTGGTAGGAGCAGTGCAGGAGTCTCACAAGGGACACCTCCCCAGAATTGTCCCCCAAAACAGGGAAACAACTGTGAAGACCGCATCGTTCTGTGCCCGTATTGGTTTTGTAGCCATTATAATCCCCCTGCTCAGCCTCACCCCTTACCCCAAACCTCTGCCCCCGTTTGGATAAATAGCAGCATTTATTTTAAACCCGTTGCATAGCAATTAGTAACTGTTTTCACCATCTGCACCGCTCAGCTAAATACATTTGGACGAAGGAAGAGGCCATTCACAAATATGTTTCAATGGTCAGTGGCTAAATAGTCTCATCTCCAACCCTGCCTGCCAAAGCCATCTGCCCATCAAATCTGTATTCCTTGGCATCCCCAGGAGGTAAAACTTATTTTCCAGAGGCCAACTGGCTCTTAAAGCATAAAGAGTGAGGGCTCGTGTTGGGCAAAACGCAGGACGAAGAGGTTTGTTCGTGGTGGCAGTTAAAGGAATTTGTGCTTAGTCTCAGACCACTGGATCCAGTTTTCTGAGACATTCAGTGTTGGGTTTTTTTGCAAGTTGAATTGCAAGGAATTAAAAAAAAAAAGGAGACGGGGGAAGCTTTCCTGTTTGCTGGAGCTTACAAGCATTTTATGAGGACAGATTCTCCACATCAAGTTTTCCTGGCATTTCTTTGTTTCCTCTCAGTAATGCAATCACATAAACCGCTTTGTAAAAAGCAACGCTTATTAAAAGGGGAATGTCAAAATAAAAGTTAGTTAAAACCTTTATCTGGTGCTGAGCCCTCACATGCTTAAGCATGCAAGAGTTTTGCTGATACAATTCAACGTTTGCTTTCTGTGGTTTTGCTCTTCTCTCCTCTCAAACATCTGAGTTTTAAGTGTTTGGGCGCACTTTCAGCCTTGGGTTATAAAGTCAGACAGGCTGCTACTGTATTTAAGCTGCAAATATTGCACAGAAATTATTGAAGTTGTATACAGACACAGCTTTCATTTCAGCAGAGGTAAGGCAGAACGCTTGGAAACGAGCTGGGAACTAATCTCTGCCATAAATTCCTGCAAGAAATGCATGCGGGGACATTTTTTTTCCTAAAGACACAATATTATTATAAACCAAACCATTTCTATGAAAGGAAAAAAAAAAAAAGGTTTAAGATTAAAGGCCAATTAAGCCAATGTGGAATGTGTAAGATATTGTTTGGTTTGGGGCTTTTGCAACAGGATAGGGAGAGGACAAGGAGCTCCATCGCCATACAGGACAGCTAAAAGGCAATATCCCCATGGCAAGAGGCAGAGCAAACACAAACTGAAGCTCTGCAGTCACTAACCACAGGATAGAAAACACCAGAGTTAAACATGTTAGGGAAAAAAAAAAATAAAAATTGACAGAAATAAAAGGCAAAGGAAGGAGAATGGCAAACAAGAAGCAGTGCCTGTGACTTGGCAGCAGGCAGGGGTCTAGACGATCATCCAGCATTCAGGCAACGACTCATTGTGTGCTTTTATCTTCCCAACACCCCATCAAAGACGAAAAGCCAAGAAGAAATAAGACTCTGCAGTGAAGAATAGCCAAAGCAGGGAGAACAGGGCCCAGATCTTTTTGGCTGCATAGCATCACAAAACTGGGGAGGTTGGGATGTCCCATTCTTGCTCTAAGGTATGACCAAACTGCTGGGGACATAGAAAAAGCCCCAGGAAGGGGCAAGATGGGGACCAGGGCACCTCATCACAGGTCCTTGCTGTGGGTTGAGTTGATGGAAACAACCTTGTGCTTCCTCAAGAGCAGAAGTGTATATGCCATGATGGTGGCTCAGGGTGACCTGCTGAGTTTAGGGAACCAGACCATGTAGGAATTCAAAGGTATTTCCCAGCTCAGGGGTTTAGCTTGTGATGCTGAAGGGAGGAACTGCTGAAGCTTGAATCATACAGCAACATCTCTGAGAAAAGGAAGAAATCACCCCAGAAAAATGCTGCAGCTACTGGGAATTCCTTCTTCTGTCCTTCTCTGCTCATCCTTTACTGTAAGGACACGGGGCCTTGCAGGGGACTCTACTTCAGCTACAAGAAGAAGTATCTAGACAGTACAACAGTCTCTTACCGCTTGACTCCATTTAACATTAAATAACTATTTTTGTTTCAAAGGCCAAATTCTGATTCAGCTCAAAACTCCCCCTGACTTCAGTGGGTCTGGGGATTTGGCCATCGGTCAACATGAAAACTAAAGAGACATTCAGAGTCACAAAGAAACTACAGAAGTACTAAAAACCAAGAGGAGACAGTCAGGGTTACCAAGCTGCAAACAGGATGGTATCGCTTCTGCTATTGTTTCTCCACTGATTTCTTTTTTTATTTAATTAACTAAATGAGATACCTTTCAACAGAATTTAGATCTGACAAATGTCTGCTCTGTCAGAGGAGCCTACGCAAACAAATCTAAGGCTTCAGCTGTCTCGGTGATTACCAGCCTACGTGCTCAGAAATATGGGATTCCTGCAAGTTTTTACTACGTTGTTTGCACCCAAGGAAGGGGCTAGAAGGCATAAGGCTGGGGAAAATAACTCCAGACACGTGGACAGCTGTGGTCTAAAACACAGTTGCTCAGTCCTGTCAGCCCTGCTCATATCCCCCCAAGCGAGACAAGTCCTCTGAGAGCCCCCACCATTTGTCTGGCATGTGGAGAGCCGGAGGACAACACGGGGTTACATTCTCCTGCTGGTTGCACGGAGATGTGGTTAGGCAATTCCTGCAAATCCTGAGAGGTAAGAAGCTACATCTGGAATGGCACTCAAGATATTTACTCCACGCTGCAGAGCATCTCATATGGCCAAACAAACCAAGATCTCATCAGTGGGTTCAGGAATGGGGTGCTCTGGACATCTTGGCTCTTGCTTTTGAAGAACCTGCCTGCTGCACACCATGCTTGTCCTCAATCCCAGGCAACTCTCCCATGGGACAAACCCTCCTGGGCATGCTAAGCTCCTCACAGGGAAGGGATGCTGGTTTTGTCCTGCTATCATGCAAAGCCTGATACCTGGTGGCCATGGCCAAGGCCACCCAGCAGCTAACGTGGACTTGCAGCCACTCAGGCAAGAAGCTGAGAATCAAGAGCAGTGCCACAGCCAAGGTCAAACCTTCCATTTCTCCTTCATCCTTACAGTGAATGAAAACATTCCTCACTGTATTTTGTGGACAGAAAGTTTATCTCCATCCTTTCTTTTGCCCAGGCAGGATCTCCTCTCTGTACCAGGAGCAGGCCCAGGAACACAATGCTAAGTCGAGGGAGTATCTCACGACCAGCTTTGC